CTGGGCTTTCCCACCACGACACGTGTCTCCATCCACGCCAGACGGCGATGGGCACGCAGCCTCCGAAGCAATAGGGAGCTGGAGTTCCATTTCCAGTTGCATTCCTTTTTTTCCACCCTGCATATCCCTAATAGGAAAGTCAACTCCCCATTATTATTATTATTATTATTATTATTATTATTATTATTTTAATCTTTTGGCTTGTTTTCACACCAGACTTGTAGCTCACCTGTGTCTTATCCTGTGGGGTGAATGGCAAAGCGCAGCCCCTGTTAGGAAATGGTGTTGGGGTGCTGAGGGGGTCATGGTTCCTCCTTCTTGGCTGCTCCCTGTGAGACCCAGGGAAATGGTCCTCACCTTCCAAGGCAGGATCTGAGGCTGATCCATCCTCCAAGGCAGGATCTGAACCCGATCCATCCTCCAGCAAAACCATCTCAGTGACTAAACCTTAAAATCTCAACTTAGATGATCTTTAACGTCCCTTCCAACCCTAACCATTCTATGATTCTATGATTTCTGGTGTAACAAGGTGATGCAGATACTCAGTGCAGCTCTGGGCAGTGAAGCCAAAGGCCACCAGCCCCATCTCTTCCCCCACAGCCAGGTTTCCATCTCGCAGAGGCACCGCCGTGCTCTTGCTAACACTTTCTATCCAGAGTGGGTCCAGCTGAGCTCTGGCATGGTGTGTTTCACTGCCCCATCCCTGCTGTGCCCTGCAGCCCCAATACCATGGGGATGGGAGTCACCCCACTCCTCCTTTCCCACCCCCAGCAGCTGCTTTGGGAACCAAATCCTGTTCCCTTTGCTCCAAAAAAAAAAGAAGGAAGAAAAAAAAAAAAAGGAAAGGTGACAGGGGGGACATGGGTCCATCTCAGGTGGCCCTGGCCCATCACCATCCCTCGCCTTCAGGGCAAACCAGCCAGGCTTCACCACCTCGTCAGGATTTATTAACACGTGTAAGTCCACGTTATCGATCTCTGGCTAGCTTTATCTCTCCAAATTGTTTGAGAAGGAAACTCCTTGGTAAATGCTACTAATAAAGCATTTATAAAGTGCTCCGACGTATACATATCAACGATGAAGCCAATACATTGTTATAACCCTGTAGCCTGCAGTTTATAGCACAATTAGTTACAGGTTTTTATAGCATCTATTTAGTATTTTGGGAAAAAAAAAAAAAAGAAAAAAGGTTATAAATATAATTGTTATATTCTATTGTACTTTATAGACAGAGAAAGTTATATTAGTAATAATAACTCTCACTGCTTCGACAGCATTTCCCAGCTCCCGAGAAAACGAGGGCTACAAAGAGCTACTTTCCCAAGAGCTCAGGAGGGGGGAGGTGGTGGCACCTGATGGGTGCAGGTAGAGAAAGCGGGACAGGGAGGTCCGGAGCGTGGCCAGGCTCGTGGGGACCGGAGCAGCCAGGAGCACAGCAGCAGCTCCCAGCGACCTGTCCCTTGTCCCTACTCACACCCTTAGTTCAGTGTCACCACTCGCCCAACGTCACCCTGGTTCTGCTCAAAAGAACCTGCCCCTGAGCCTGGGAGAGGCTGAGGATGTCCCCACTGCTGTCCCCAGGCTGGGTTTCTGCCCCACGTGCGCGTGGTGCCGCAGGAGGCGATGCCTGGGTTCAGTCCAGCCCTGGCAAGGATGCTTCCCTCTTCTCCAGCTCCTCCTCCTCCTCCAGTGAGCATCCCGGTTGCCCAAACTTGGCTTTCCTTTCCCCACCCTGGGCTTCTTGTCGGAGATTCCTGAGGTGTCGGCACCGCCTGTAATGCCCTGCACCCCCTTCTTTGAAATCAAATTAAAAAATCAGGTCTGTTCCCCTTTGCTCTGTACCTGCCTTGCTGCTCTTTGCCCGTGGCACCAGATTCCTCGCCGTCCCAGTGCCACTCTCACAGCCCTTCTGCGGGAGGCAGTGGTCTGGGGTGGGGGGATTTGTTTCTCCCATGCAAAAGGAGTAGGTTTTTTTTTTTTTTAAGAAGGTTTTGCATCCACAGGAGCCTGGTGCTCACCTTTGCTACTTCTCTGCAGGGCTGTGGGGCTGGCGTCATCCTCTCTTGGAGAAATGAGGGACTCTCAGAGGGATATTTGCTGTGCAGCATGAATTCCACCCACCAGCTGTAACCCCCCCTCAGGATTATCCTCTCTCCCTCCCCACCCACACAGAAAAGACGCCAAAACAGAAGAGCTTTGGTGTATCTCTATTGCACAAACAACCTTGCCGGGTCCATGGCTTGCAGGCTCAGCAGTGTGGCAGTGCCTGCCATGACCTTTGGTGACAGCCATCACCACCAAGGTGACCACTGACCCCCCCCCCCATCCCCCCCCCAAGGGTCTCCCACCTTCATCCATAAGGGCTCAGCAAGGGGGTGACCCCTGTGATCCCCCCAACTTGAACGACTCAAACACTCATTAAGTCTCTTGGTGCTGTAAGACACGAGGATCGTTAGTCCCATTGTACAGATGGGGCAGACTGAGGTACGAGATGGTTGGATGCCAGGTGTGGGGTGTCCCTGATTTAGGGGGACACTGTAGGGGTTGGCTATTCCCTTCTTCCCTGCAGAAAGTGCCCCATTCTCTCAGTTTGGGGCTGGATTTTTCCACCCAAACCAGTACAAGAATGTCTGTTTAAGAGGAGAATTACCAGTCCAGAAAAATTCCCCCTTGGGAAGGAGGTGGTGCAGCTCTGAAGAGCAAGAGGGGACCCCCCCAGATTCCCTGGGAGCAAATCCATCACACTGCCCACACTGAGCTCGGGCACTGCAGCTTCAGCATTGCTCCCACCTTCAGATGAGCAAGGGGTCCATCCCTGCCAGAACTCGGGGTGTGGGGTCAGACCCACGCCTCCTCGTCATCCTCGGTCAGCCATGCGCCGCTGTCAGCTGGTGAGGGCTTGGCCCCTGGGTGGGTGCTACTGGTCTGGGGGTGCCTAGGGGTCCCCGTGGGGTGATGATGGACCCGGGGGGCAGACAGGCGAGTCCCCAGTGGGGTGGGGATGCGTGAGGGGCGCTTGCCGGGCCGGTGGTCCCGCCGGGGACGTGTCTTGGGTCGTAGCTTCAGCTTGTAGATGGAGGGCACACGCTCGGGCTTCTTCAGGCACCGCCGGGGCTTGGGGACATTGCTGACCCTGGGTCCCTGTGGGGTCTGGCCCCCAACTCCCAGCACCTCCACCTCTGCCCCAGCTGGGAGGGTGGTGGGCTGTGGGGTGGCTTTTGGGGACGTTTTGGGGACCCAGTTTCCCAGCTCCACAGAGCGCAGGGGCTGCAGCCCACGGGAGAGCTCCTCCACCACCCCGCCATAGCCAGGAGGCTG